GGGCCCCAACGCGCAGAATGGGTTGATCTTGTGCAAGAGTTGACGAATGTCCTCCACTGTGGAGACCAAGTCGGTTAGAGGCTGTTCGTAGTTTCGCCTTGACAAGAGTGAATGTGAAGTGGAAGCTGGGGCTGAGTGTAGATACGCATAGTGTTCTCTGTAAACCTCAGATACCGCTGTTGAGCCATTTCTCGGTTCTCCGTTTCTATCCCTCAAGGAGAACGCGGATGGCTTGTTTCTACAACGATGTCCCATGTACTTGATCAGTACGTTTTTGATTTTCCGAGCGAGGTCCAGGATGGTGGCTTGTTTTCATATGTTCCACTGGCGGCTTTCCAATTTACAACTGTTCCGCGTTTTACGAAATGCCAGCTAATCTTCTGTATTCCCTGTAGTCAACTTTTTGAAAGAGAGTTGGGATCTTTTTTCCAGAAGTCGCCGAATCCTTTTTGGCATCCTGCGGTCCATCCGATTGTGTGCCGGCAGTTTTGGGACGAACGTCGCGTCAGCCTCGTGAACTTTCTGGACAATGGTCCTATATAGTTCTTCCACCGGAGCTGGTCCCAGTGTGACTTGTTCAAGGAAGAAGCGCATTCCTGAGAAGTCTGCACGGCAGAAGTCTCGAAACCACGTTTGAGGTTTGGGATTTCTGGCCCAATAGCAGATGAAATCAAAGGTCAGCACACAGTGGTCGCTATGTCCCAGTGGAGCGTTAATTGTTACCTGATCAACGAAGTGTCTTTCGTTGGTGATGACCAAATCCAAGAGGGATGGTAGTTGGCCTGCGCGGTATCTGGTGGGTGCAGCGACATGTTGAGTCCAAGCGCTCTGTTGAACGACTTCAATCAGCGCCCCTGCAAAAAGTCCACCTGATTCGACGCGCTGGAGCTCAATCCAGGAGGCCTTTGGGGCGTTGAAGTCACCTATTATCAGGAGATGAGTGAAGTAGTAGTTGGGGGGAGTTGCTCAAGGGTTTGTATGAGGAATTGGTCATCTTCAGGGGGACTCGAAGTGCTACGGTAGACCACGCCGAGAAGGAGAGAATCGGACCCGCGCAGCGGATTCCAAGTGCCTTTTCCGGTGGACGCGTGATTGTCCGCGGCAATTCTCCCCATACCGGCTAGGGACCGAGCGAAGCTCCGCCCGTACTTATCAGAATGTGAGCCAATCACGATCGGGCATTTTTGGTCCGGTGCTCATCGGGCGTTCACAAAATTCTGCAACCCTTTTGGGTACTTCTGTGGTCACTCCATATATACGGCTAACATTCTTCTTTTGTATCCACTAATTGCTGCGTAAAATTACCTTATTTTCTGGTATACCGTAATTGGCGGAACAGCGAGCCATGCAAAAGCCTCCGCGGTACGAAACACTTCATCTTCGTGATATTTATGGCGCTTGCGTCTTTACCTATTTCTAACACTTCGAGGATAAGGATGCTACCCGAACACTCACTCAAACCTTGAGTACCTTGATAGCATCATGGTTCTTGAACCGGACTGCTTGGATACGCTAACCTTTTTGGACGGTTAGGCATTCGTATTTGCCTATGGTGTATTGCTGTAGGTAATGGTGGGGTGGATACGATGCTCTGCCACTGCGTGCGCAAAGTATCCGTTGTCATCACCATAAGCAAAGACACTGATGCTTCATTGCCATGCGACTGAAAAATTGTTCACTAAGACTATTAGAATGGAACGAACAGAAAGGAGTCAGTGGGTAAGGGGATCCAGTGCTGGCCTCGCGAGCATTATAACGTGCGTTCCCTTCAAGAGCTGAGGCACAATCCAGAAAAAAAGACATGACCAGTCGCCATTTCTTTCAATGTCTCCAGTCAAGCGCTGGGGGGGCCACGGGGCCTCATGATAGAGGCGAAACGCACCAAAAGCATCCAAACTCTTGGTAGTCGTTTTCACATCCTGCCCTCCCCGCGGTTCTCTATATTGTGAAGGGGGAACGGAGAACGATACCCGTGTCGTTAGATGTTTAGGCTTGCTTGCCACGTGACCGAGGCATTGCAGTTGATGGTGATGCATATTTCCCTCGAATAAAATGGCAGTCCTTCACCAAGCCTACTGCCTTCAGTGCATAGCTCTCCCAGTCCTCGCTTAATCAGACCAACGCAGTAGTTTAACGTCTCTGCCTCCAACTGATAGCTGTCATTCCATTATTCTCCTTCACACTGACGAACTGATGAGCTAAATTGCAGCAGCTGTAATCTCTAGTACATTGTTTACAGCAGTAAAACTGAACAAACTGAATTGAACCAACGGTGTTTCACAATCAGGACGACTGCACTCTGGGGGACTCGCGGTCTTCATGATCCCTTTAGCTCACATGGCAGTCCTCCACGGAATGGTGCTGTGGGTGAATGGCCCCTTCATTATCCTTCTGGATATTCTAGCAACTTACAAAAATGTGTAATATCTTTCCACTATCCATTGTTTTCTTTCTTGAATAGTATATTCTCTATGTGGTTATATGGCAGCTGCGAAACAATACTCCTAATGACCTCTGACGCAAAACTGTCACAGGTTTATAAGTGTACTTATTCCTCTATTTTTAGAGATTTTCTGTTGACACGTTTGTCTACATTTTGGCTAGCATCATACCAAGCCCTAGATAGTGTACCAACGACTCAGCTTTTCTAACATTTGCAAGACTGATTGGTCAGCAGTTGGGTTATGCTGGAAGAGGGCTCGAAAGTTTCTTGGATCTCTCGACAGGTAAGTTGAGTCCCTAAAGTGGTAACGTTGTTTATTTAAGCTTTAGCGTTTGTCGATTATGTCCGATGCCCCTGAAACGCCAGGCCTCGAAATAGATGAGGAAAAGGAGTCTTGCTCCACCGAAGAGGATGTTGGTCCCACGGAACCTGAAAAAGAACCCCCTCGCTCACCTTCAACTCCTTTGGTGGATGAGGCAGCAATACTTCAGCGTCGGAAATCCAGTAGGCAACGAAAAGCAACCAAAGTAGTTGAAACGGATTCTCCTCTCAATGGTGACGCTTCGGAATCTGATGGGAGGCATCACCCCAAACCGGATACATGCTCCGTTGACCTCGAGACCGAGAGGCGCATGAGCCTCCGTCCACGCCGTAAGGCGAAAAGAAGCGAGATGTATCAGGATGAAAAGGAGCTGGACCAGCTTTTAAGTGACGAAGTCAATCTTCAAGCTTATGGTCCGGCCCAACACTGGAATACAGGTGCTGGGGATTATATATCGGGCGACTGGGTAACTACCTTCGTGCTGTTTCTTCTATGCCTATGTATAACTACTGGAACTAATTTATTTGTGCTTAACTAGCCACCATAACTAATCATTTGATAGGATACCTGACTTCAGTGGGTAACCCTCAGAATTATATCCTCCCTTTTCCCTGTGGCAGCTGTCTGTGGAACGAATACTAGCTCATCGTCGCCTGGATAAACGGAAATTAACGGAATTCAGTAGGTCCACCGTTTTGCTAGTTCCGTCCTTTCTAGTACATTTATGCTGCATTTACTACTTTTTGCCAGAGAGTACACAGAATTTCCTTCACTCATCGTTAGTGCAACTGGCTAGCTGGTTTTTGACTTGAGTTCAAAATCAAAGCGCGAGTTCTTAATGAGCATGAGCATCTCTATGCTTACTTTCTCCATCCCTTCCCCTTGGTAAGTTCATAGCTCCACCGAGCCCTCGTAGGTACTCAATGTCTCCTTCCCCACCTCATTGCATTCGTTTGTGGCATAATTGCCTCGTGTCATCATCGGGTGAAAATTCCTTCCCAGAGGTGCTAGAAGTGATACTTTAAGCCGATAGAGCAACGATAACAGAGCGCTAACCCGTTGAGAATAGGCTGGACTTTATTGTGTTGTCATGTTCTGCGTACCTTGATAACACATGGGGCTATCCTAAAGGATGCCTTTCACCATCTACACCTCCTACTGGGTTACTCGATGGATGGAGGCCTGCTTTCTAGTCATCCCGGTTGAGGCTCAGGTTGGAAGAAGTGTGGAAGTCTCTCTTCTTAAAAATTTGGACTGCTCTGGCAGTCTTGCACCAAACACAACTGTCATGCGGTCAAATTAAGTGGAAGGTTCCAGTTGTGGACCCCAATAATCCCAATAGACCCCAATGGGTTTAGACGCCATCGCATCATCACAACCCACATAACTCATGACACACGCTAATAAAGGTGTTGTCTTGTCATATCGGTTGGCACGTGATGCAATCAACCGGGTCATTTTGTTCACTGTGTACAACAGGGCGGATAGGCGAAACATGCAACTGTTGATATCTTTCATCACTATCCACTCTCGCCCGGGAGGCGTAAAGCGCGTCAGCCAGACACCTACAGAAGCGACAGGTTGCACGCCATTGCTCACGTTTACCACAGTGCGTTCACCATTCAGACTGCGTTCTTCTGACTTGCAAAATTTAGCGTGTAAACATTCAGGGAGATCAACTAACATGCTCCCCTCACGCATATTCCAGGTGCATTATCGATTTACATCCAATGCCTAAATTGAGCTTACGGTATCTTCCACATCCACAAATTATCGACTGCGAACTTTGTGTGGTACTGCAGCTGTTGGCGCGGTCTGCGCCGGCGTGTTAAGTCTCCATTACTCCACTGGGTACCCGTACCCGCCGACACTGAATTATCCGAATTTCCACTCGTCTAAAGACTCGCAATGATCTAAATACTGAACATAATTTGGTGCATAAGTGAATACGATGAATAATGTTAGCCCTCAATAGTAAAAAAGCACCTGTGGAGAACGAGTCCTCTTATTCAACGGGTAGTCTTTTGATATGATCTTACTAGCAGATCTCTATGACCAAGTAGGGTACCTCAGCTGGTCAGAGACGCGCTTTGGTGTCAGTTAATTTGAACACAAAATGTAGTAATAGTGTTCCTTCCTTCGTAACCTTTACGGACCGCTAGTTCTTTCTCAGCAACGGGGGCGAGATGGATCAAGTGGTTAGAGCGCGAATTTACTGACCGGAAGGTCCGTGGTTCGAACCCAACATCTGCCTCTCGAATTCCCCTGTCTAAGCTTGGGCGACCTGGCAGTATGTTAGCTCTCGTGCCCTCGTGCTGGGAACCAAAAGGGCGCTACAGCTGAACGATTTCTCAGCGACTCAATGTAGACAGTGGACGCTGTGTGCTACCTGACCCCCCTTCCCGTGCCTTTGAGCAACCTAGGATTCAAACTAATCGCACACCGATCAGTTGCCGGTGGTGTGATTCCATCCTTAACTCTCGATCATTGCGGAATAAATGGGTTGAATCAGGTCACATCCTCTTTCTCAGTACAGTTTTGTTAACTTTTCTCGGTAAACGTAGGAAGCGAGCCCCCATTTAGCAGTAGAAAAAGCTTTTTGATCTGGAATTTCTTCTATGCAGTGCTTTTGAGGACAGTGATAATTACAACTATGCGTTGCGCTAAAAACTGTCTGCTGTCTCATAATGCATGCGCGAGAGCCACTGGATCTCTGATCAGTAACTGTCAATACTCAATTTGAAACGCTTTATCCATTCAGGCTCGGACCTTAATTCAGCTGGATGGTCGTTTGGACTAACTTTTGCGTGGGACCTGGTTGAACCTGGATATTTAAGAAATGAAAGAAGCAGTGTAGCTTGGGATACACACGGAAGCTGTTTGAGTTGATTCACTGAGCAGGACCTAAGGGGCCTTCTTTAATGAATTAATCAAACATAATATTAGTATACAGCGGAAGCCAGCGTCTAGATTGCTAGGCAGAAGATTTTCAACAGGTCTTATTGGCCACTTGCCCCTCTTCTCTTGTCATTTGAATTTGCTGATTCTGATGCTTGGTATGTACTTTTACGCAGTCGCCGTCACAATGCCGCACACAGACTGGTGTATTCTGTGTGGCGGATTTCCATGGAGTCACAATCTAACGTGGGGTTCAGTGAGAAACCTATTTGTGCAAGCCCAAAGATGACAAATTAGATTTGCTCTTATGCCTGCGAGTGGGGTCATTTCACATGTTTCTGCCTTCTTGTCGTCTAGTTTCTGAGGCTCTCAAATCGTATACCGCAATACAGAAAAAAATGGTTGAGATGGAATATTTCGTCAAGATTCATGATCAATCTTACTGGCACTGTGCTTGGATGTCCGGAGCCATTTTGATGGCGCTTCATCCGGGCTTGGTTAGAAATTACTTTAAAAACGTTCGTGAACAGTCTGAAGAGGTGGCAGTAGATTTACGCAACACGGAGGTACATACACTCGACGCTGAAATGGCTACTACTCAAGAAACAGAACCGAACCCAGCACAAGATATCTCGACTCATTCGGTGGTCCTTCCGTCCTCCGAAGACCAACCCAAGCCTGAGGGGCCCCAAGTAGAATTGGAGAAAAAGAAATCTGAACCTTCTTCGCTGACGATTCCGCATAGCAGTGAGGAGGATGAGGATGATGAGAACGACCTAACGAAATGGAGTACTGAATACAAGGAGAATCTGACCAAGTTAGTGGCCCGTTTACAAGACAGAGTGATTTTTTTCAATTCTAGGTGCGTGAAGAACTGTGTTTTCTTATCTTAATGAGTCATGAAGCGTCCGAACCGTTCCAGACTGGAAGTGTGCAGTATAGTCACGGGTGAATCTGCTTCTTTTTGAGGGTTTCGGACTATACATGCTAACAAGAATTCCTGGTCTGTCTTTTAATCCTTTGACACCTTTGGAAGTGTACTTTACTGATTTCATTTTACGATCCTTACTAGCTACCTATTTTACTCCTTATTAGCTATTGTGATTTCGACCTATTAAGCGCAAGGCCGCTCAGTTCACTTCAGTTTGTCAGCTTTAAACAGCGCCAAAGGTAAAATACGCTACGCCTACGTAATATACTCAAAGTGGGCGAAACCACCTGTGGACTGCCAACGATTTTTCAGAAACCTTTTGTCAAAAACGGTAAAGGTAATTCAATTTCAGCTGATGTCGTTTACTTCTCCTAGGAAACGCGCTATGTCAAGGACCAGTCACCTGTTAGAGCCGATCGCTTATCCATCTTATTGTTAGTCTTTTTAGCAATTCACCTATTGCTTGCATTTCTCGTGACTGCTGTTTAGCAGCGCCATGTCCTCGAGAGCAGGGTCAAAGGAACAGGGAGCAATTCTAACGTTTTTGAAGGGATTTTGTGCTCGATGACAAACACCGTATAAAGTTACTTCATTTTGTAGCGGTTAAGTTTTGTAATAGAATAGTCGGCGTCACAGCCGTCCCGTTTAGCCACTGGTGTTCGTTATAGGTCGGGTTCCGATGGTTGGAATTCAGTTGCGATTCCATAAATGGACATCGTATACTTCGTTGAAACTTACTGGCTCCATACATCACTTGGCGGTGTCATTTGTATCCCTAGACCATAACTCCAAATATTTCTGCTTGCGAGCTATTTGGAAAATTCGGCCAGTTTTCAGCAACAATATGAACTTGACTTGCGAAGTCGTATGTTCATATCTCCCTTAATGCACAGTATCTTAAAAAAATACACAAACGCAGGATCGTCCACCCGTGAGATATGTGTGGCTGATGTCTTCCTGTATGTGGGTGATTAGATCGTGTAATCATGTTAAAATGTCCGATTTCATGAACCACTGTGACCGAATGTAGCGTAATCGCGGGATTTAGCGTGTTTCGTTTTGGAGAAATTTGTGCACACAACCAGCTGTCAATTCACCTCCACATTTCCTCACAGGCACAGAACGCCGGTCTGGCAACCTCCACGTAATTTTTAAAGGTTTCCATTTAGATTCCTCTGCTCTAACCTATCATTTGATTACAGATCAGCACGTTCTAAATATAGTTCATCATCAATTGTTTTCGTTGTTCACCAGAGTAAATGAGCTAGTTCAGGATGCATTTCACGTGCTGACTCCACGGCGTACTGCTTCATACACTGACCAATCACATTCGGTCACTCTGCGCAACGAGTATCTCTACATTCAACTAGGTGGTATGAAAAGCGATCTGCGTTACTCTAGTTTGGATTGATTACTTGAAATAATGTATCTGGCCCGGCAAATTTTCAACAGCTCTTCGGCGAAGTAATTTGTTAGACCATCTGACAAGACAACTTTCCAAATCATCGTAAGAACCTGCTACCAAATAACATGCCCCTACCAGTGTTGAATGGTTAGATGCACTTTACTGATGTGCACCGAAACTGATCCTCTTCAAATTGTCTGGGTAATCTTATTGAAATATGAATCCTTGCCTGGTTTACACAGTTCTCCATTTACACAATACATTTACTTGATGGTTCTGAACCCTGTGCGACTCAGCCTGCTTTTGCTTTTATGTGTAACTTCGACCGTCAGTGTTGCACACGGTTTCCGCATGGTGGTTCCTTCTGGGTTCTAGTGAAATCATTACCCAGTGTTTTTTACTTTGTGAGATCGAGTTTGGAATCATGTTTTTTGGCCTCAACCATCCTGGAAACAAACTTTTTTGTAGTGAGCAATCGAGTACGTATTTGGCAGCGAAATATAAGAAGACCCAGTGCAGTGGTTTTCCATTGGGAGGGTATTAGGTCCTAGAAACTATCAATATTAGTATTAGCATTATTTGAAGTTTGGGATGGTTTCCTAAGCCGGTGAAGTGTTCTTCTTTGAAGCGCTTGTCTGTATGGAGAGATTACTGAGAACCTACTGTATTCACTCACTTCGGAGCATTTAGACACCGAACTGGCTATCAGTAGTGTTGACAAAAGCTTCGAATTTACATCGTGGGCTTAGCACTGTTCGACGCAGATGAAATCGAGTGTATTTTGTGTTACAGATGGATGTCACCCAACCTAGAGAGTTCTGGTTCAAGGCGACGTTATTTGGTCCACTGGGGCGTTGAAAGTGATCGTCTGGTACCCGAACGAATCATCACCGTTGGAGAGACAGTTGAGGTGTCTGCCTCTGGACCAGCTGATTCCGAAGCCGTTGTGGATGTTCCAGATGAAGTGGAGTTTCGAGAAGTACTCGTCAAATGGTTCAGCGTACCTGAGAGTCAAGCGACTTGGGAGACTGTAGAAACGGATCTAGATATGTTATCAGAGTTAGCGGCTTGTCAGAAAATCCATCCTAAAGCGGTTTTCCGAGATTCAAACGGCCGCAGGTTGCTTCCTCTGGTTGTTAGACGCAGCCTTATTCAGATGATGAATACATACTGCACACGACTCGCCAGAATGTTGTGCGATGCCTATGGGGCACAGCACACCATTGGTAAACGTCCGCCTCCAACCGATTGGAAGGTACGCTGATTATGCATCGCTTTAGTTCTAGAATTTATCTTAGGGTTGATTTTCAACAGTTAAAGTCCAGTAGTTGACAAACTAAAACGCGTATTACTATTTCATAAATCCGGACGTTTTTTGGCACACTTAGTAACGGTGTGCCAATGTTTGGTTACTTATCTGTTATCAGTAGCCACTTAGCAACACTGTTGTATCACGTTATGTTCACTATTCATTCACTATCCGTTTCCCCTAAATAGAACAAATGGCAAAATAGCCAACCGAGCTATCTTTCTCCGGAGCAACATGCAGTGCTACATCCATACCAGCTGGAAGGTGTACGTTGGCTCTGGCATGCGTATCACAATCATGTCAATGCGATTCTGGCTGATGAAATGGGCTTGGGAAAAACCGTTCAAGTGATTGCTCTGCTTTATTCCCTGTGGAAAGAGGTATTGTTGTTGTTCCCTCTGTTCTGGGAGTTTAACTTTGTTCCATTTGAAAATGTCCTGTTTCCTAGTGCGTTTACTTAATGGGCACCAAATGGGAGATCCCAGAACTTGCGGGCCATGGGCCTGAAATTGACTCGAACACTTTTTGGGAAGATGTGATCGGTCTTGGTTAGGCTCAGCCATACGAGCTGGTTCACACGTACCGAAGCTTCCTAAGGTGATAAACCCGTCTATTATGAGTGAAAAGGCCTTATGCTCAGACTAATGAACCGTACACAACTAGGCTAGCGCTGTGTAATCCTTGGGTTGGAGGTGAGATTACACGGAGATACAGACGTACGCTTGGTGAGATCTGGGAAGAATAGCAATATGGTCACGGTACTGTCATCAAACGACCAAAATACGAACGGTTCTCCTTATCATTATCGTAAAACCATTGAGGACATCACGAAAAGACAACAGAGCATCCAAATAATATAACTTTAACCGGACTTTCGTTTAGGCTGCAAGTGGAGGTGTAATAGGATGAGGGTTAAAAACTGTTCCGAAGTATTCAGCCTTCCTTACAAAACTACCTTGTCAGCGCTAGTCACACCTTATCAGTGGCATCAGTACCTCAGTCGAAGTGATGTGTACAACCCCACGCAATTCAGGCGTAGACGCGGTGGGAACGCAACCGTCACATGACATTATCCTGTGGGCCGAGACATCACACAGCACACATGACAACACTTTCTATTGTTGTTTTCGGCTGCTGACAGTTAGTCCAATTTCTTAGCCTATTCATTTCATAGACTAGACCGAAAACCGCTTGAATTCGTATTTTCCGTACACGCATGGTAAGGCTTTGGGTAGGATCACCACATTTTCTTTTTGGTTCAGTAGGTCTAGTGTCTAAAGGCCAAGAATAGAACTTAATGTAAGCCTTAGAAATGCATAGCCCTCCGCAGAAGCAACGGGCTGGAAGGGCTGTTGTTTCGGATGGCTCCTATGAGTACTTTTTATTCTTTTTGGGTGCTGTCAACCCAAGTGAATTGCATGGTGCAGTGCACTCGACAACACAATAATCTGCCACAACCCAAAACAACTTCACGGAAGTTGCTGATATGTTCCTGATGATCCGTGGTGACATCATGCATTGAGGCACATTCACTTTCCTGGCTAGAAATGAGGTTGTTTGTTCTCGTAACTGACTTTAGTTTCGGGAAGCTACTTGATTTGTAGCGCGGTACCATATTCCGTTTTTAACAATAAACCTTCCAGTTACTTGAACACTATATTTTCAATAAGTGCTCTCTAATGCCTTGCACTAGCCCCGGTGAGCTTTATCCATTCCTGAGTTTACTGGTCTTAATGACTTTATTGTGATTCATGTAAGATTATCCGAGATGAAGCTGCAGATTTTGATCCTGGATACTGATTCGTCTTCACTTCCATTTTTTAGTGTGGGTTATGTACTCCCTCTGACTGCGTCTTACTTTCCCCTGTTTTTAGCGAAACGATTACGGTCCATTCCTGGTTGCTGCCCCCCTGTCCACGCTCCAAAATTGGGCTCGTGAGTTTGAAGTTTGGGCTCCGGAATTCCGTGTTTTGGTCTACAGTGGTGAGCGCAGCGCACGTGCTACAATGCAGTGAGTGAATTCTCCTTACTTGGTTACCCTACGTCGTTACTAGAGTAGAGTCTTATCAGGCTACTGCGCAGGTGTATGAATACCGAACGTAAGGGGTAGTTTCATCCATTCCACAGCACTTTTCCATCGTAAATGTCACCGTTATATCTTACTCAGTTTAAGTGTGGTAAACCGTCCCCAATTAACCGTGGGGAAGTTGCGTCAAACGTGAACCGTGAATTGTGTTTATTTCTGTATTCGTCGTCTCATTTTGCGTTTGCCAGACTTCCGGGCCAGAGTATAACGGGAATGAAAAGGAATAATAGCTCACCGAACTTAGCTAAAGACACGGAACACTCGCTCCCATTCATCGTTTATTTAGATATACTCCTCTCCTTCAATTGTTTTTACCCATATTAATTGGGTGTCAAACGATGCTAATCCTCCAGTTTAAGGGACCTGTTTCCTCGCGCCTACAAATCTACCTGCATATCATTGCTTTTTTTAAAAAAAGAAAGAGATGAAACACTATGTATACAAGTGCATGTGATTATCTACTTTACTTCATTTTGTCCAAATTCAAAAAAGATTATTCCGAGAGGGGGCGTGAAGCGTCGAGTCACAGGTGCTTGACTCGGATTGACTGGCATTCTGACCAATCAGGGCATGTCTTCGTTGGGCCCGTGTCCTGCACGTGACACATTCTTCCAAATGACGGAACGGCGGGCCCCCGAACACCTCCCCCTTGAGAGGGCTGTTCAACCGACTGCTGCTTTGGACACCGCTGTGATGACTCATGGAGTTGCTGTCGCATTTCAATTCGTCGCTGAGGCTGTGTGCATGCCGATCTGGGATCTGGTACCCTCCACTTGGGAGGTATATCACGGCTGTCCGGTGTCCCATGCCACGTGATCCCCTCACCGAGCTGCAGTCTGTTGCCTGAAGATGGTTCACATGACGCGGCTGTGCTGATGATTTTACGTGTGCCTCGTGTTTGACATAATCGATCCTGCGTCCACCGTAGAGAGCTTTCCCCATATATTTGAATCAGTGGCTGGTCTCTGTGTGACTGTTGTGGCGTTCCTCCTGCCGACTCCCCTTCCTTGAATTTGCGGATAGCGGTAGAACGATCCGCCTGAACCTGCTAGTGTAAACTGAAGGGTTCATACCGCAAGTGAAACGTTGCGTGCTGCTGCTAGGGTTCACCAAATTGAACTGAGGTGAGAGGACTACCGGTGCCTGACGCGAGGAGCTTAATAGCCGCTGCGTGGCGTATGTTCCATCTGGTCTCCGGTTTGGCTGTAACTGTGGCGACCACAAAATCGTCAGGACGTGATGTCCCCGTGAACGTATCGGGGCCATTTGCAGTTGTTTCGTCACAAACGGCATTGAGGGGTTCACCCAACAGCTGAAGCTCATTAATCCAATCCAGGCCCAAGAGATCAAGGCCTATATAGTTCGTGAGGTAGCAAGTACCACTGAGTTGAACCCCCTTTAACGTTACGGAACAGTTCAGCTTCCCGGTCAGTTTGAGGCTCCCACCAGATGCATTACGAACGGCACACTTTGTGGGTTCCACTGGTGGCCTTCCAATTACGTTCCAGGTTCGTTTTGAAATCAGAGTGAGGTCAGAACCTGTATCCAGTTAGAGGGTAACTGGTGTGCCATTGATACATAATGTGACGAATTTACGTCGACCAGGT